CGAAAGCACATTCCCTCTACAATCCTGAGTGCAACCCGGATGCGTGGTCCAATCCAAGGTTGCAGACGCCATCACAGGGAAAGGAATTCCCACTTCACCAACGATTATGTTTTTCAATCCTTATCACATTCCTCCAATTCAAACATTATTCGCTGGATTTCTCATCCGCTGTTCTTGGCGATGATTCGATCACGCGGTTGATAGCCGATGTTTTCTCATGATTTGGCATTTCGAAAAATTTTGTAATATCATCCTACTATATATAATGCGCTATGTCTGTCTGTCCGTCTGTCACGAAATTCGGTATCAAGCGAACAACAACCTACAGGGTCCAGGTCAAGTTTGGGATGGGTATACCATATCCCTAGAAGTAAAAAACACACATCAGCCAAGCGGAGCCCCGCCCACAGTGGGCGTGGCGTGCATCGGTTGATTTCAAATTCAGTCACAAAACAGCCTCGAGACCGGGACAAAAGTGGGCATAGGTGTGGGTTGGTAAGCCAGATCGAACTGAGGAGACCCACCCTCGGTGGGCGGGGCGTTCTCTAGAAAATGGGTGCTCAGTGAAAATATTCATAACTCGGTTAAGAGGAAGCCTACAGACCAGAAACGAAATTAGTGCAGGGGAGCAATGCCTAAGGTATTTCCACCACGCATGATGTGAACGGAGGCCCGCCCACAATGGGCGGAGCGTGTCGTGAAGCGGACAGCATTTTCTACAAGAGCTCATAAATCGGCTCCGAGATGACTTAGAGACCGGAAAACAACGGATAGAGGTCAGGAGGGGAGGGGAAGCTAAATGTCAGGGATGGGCGTGGCTTACATCAAAGTGGGCGGAGTTTGCAATTAGGCTTATAACTCGGTTCCTAGGAGTCCCGGAGTCCGGGAAAAAAGCGTATGAGGGTTGGCAGAGGGAAAGGGGTCAACCGTTGTTGGCGGGCGGAGCATGCACCAAAGTGGGCGGGGTTTGCCACGGTACTTCATAACTCGGTTCCAATAAGTTCCAGAGATGGGAGAAAAGTAGAAAAAGGTTGGGGAAGAGATGATAGCCGACTGATATCAGTGGGCGACCCACGCACCAAAGTGGGCGGGGTTTGCCACAAAGATACGTAGCTCGATTTCGTCCCCTACAAGACCTCATAATTCGGCTCCGAGATGACTTAGAGACCTGAAAAAAAATATGCCAGAGGTGAAAGTAGGAGTAGAGGTTGAATGTGAACGCTGGGCGTGGCACACCCGGATGTGGGCGGAGTTTGCCACCGCTCTCATAACTCGTATAAGTTTGTGGTATGGAGTAGGGTTGAATGCCATTGTTGGGCTAACCATGCACCAAAGTGGGCGGGGTCTGCCTCAGAAATTCGTGACTCATAACGCCATTTACAAGACCTCATAATTCGGCTCCGAGATGACTTAGAGACCTGAAAAAAATATGCCAGAGGTGAAAGTAGGAGTAGAGGTTGAATGTGAACGCTGGGCGTGGCACACCCGGATGTGGGCGGAGTTTGCCACCGCTCTCATAACTCGGTTCCTAGAAGTTCCGGCGACCGGGGAAAATGTGCATAAGTATTGAGGTATGGAGTAGGGTTGAATGCCATTGTTGGGCTAACCATGCACCAAAGTGGGCGGGGTCTGCCTCAGAAATTCGTGACTCATAACGCCATTTACAAGACCTCATAATTCGGCTCCGAGATGACTTAGAGACCTGAAAAAAATATGCCAGAGGTGAAAGTAGGAGTAGAGGTTGAATGTGAACGCTGGGCGTGGCACACCCGGATGTGGGCGGAGTTTGCCACCGCTCTCATAACTCGGTTCCTAGAAGTTCCGGCGACCGGGGAAAATGTGCATAAGTATTGAGGTATGGAGTAGGGTTGAATGCCATTGTTGGGCTAACCATGCACCAAAGTGGGCGGGGTCTGCCTCAGAAATTCGTGACTCATAACGCCATTTACAAGACCTCATAATTCGGCTCCGAGATGACTTAGAGACCTGAAAAAAATATGCCAGAGGTGAAAGTAGGAGTAGAGGTTGAATGTGAACGCTGGGCGTGGCACACCCGGATGTGGGCGGAGTTTGCGGCGTAAGTAAGATGTACCGAGCAGAAAGCTAAAATCAAGACAAAAATACTGATGGGCCCGATTTTACCGCTGCAGCCCCGTCTCATGCACGCGAATGCGTGCGCACTAAAACTGGTTTCCTGATAAAGTACATTCTGTTTAACTCAGTTATCGGAAAGAGAATAATAGAGCAAATATTCGATGGATTCATCGAGCATAAAAGAAGTGCTCTGGAGAAACGTGAATCGTTATGGCGCAAGAATTTGCAATAGTAACGAAATTGCGTTCTGTTTTCTATTGAGCTGAGCTCCTCTACGCTCCGTTTAAAACATTTGTATTGGTACTGTTACGATTGGCAGTCGTTTAAATATTTGTTGGAATATTTGCTTTCACCTATTACTGTAAAAAATTCTGAAAATCGAAGCTTGGTTCTTACAAAAGTCGATTTTCCGATTTCCGTTTCCAGCTAGAGACCGATTCGGCTGCACTCCATTGCATGCAGCTGTGGTACATGAACACACTGAGATTGTCCGCTTCATCGCCGGCCACTTTCCGTCCGTACTGAACGCACCCCGACTACGTAAGCTTTTCTTTCAAGTCTTGAGAAGCATTCTTTTACACTGTATCGTTATAGAATAAACGTACTCCGATGCACTACGCGGCTGCAGCTCGTGACGGTGGCCACTACCTGAAGATCCTGGGCAAAGCTGGAGCGGATCCAATGGCTGTGGATAACGTAAGGGACATAAAATAAACAGATCAGAAAGATAAAAGAAATGATTTTTTTTCAGGAAGGTCGTACACCGGACTACTACCGAAGAAACGCCGTCATCGATCTGAAGATGATCAAGGATCGTGATGAAGAGTATGAAGGAATGAGTGAAGAGCTCCTGGATGAGGGACCCATGCTCGAAAGTCCTGGCAGCGTCGAGAGCGGATCAGAGGGGTAGGCGTTAAACTACAACCTTAATATGTTTCTCCAGAAGTTTGACAAAGCATCAAAGTCCTGCTAAGGCTCAGTATCCTCAATTTCGGAAACGAGAAGAGCGTCGAGTGCAGACCACACACCACAAGTGACGACGGCCAAGAAAAAAGGCTTTTTTTTTTTCTTGGCCGTCGTCACTTGTGGTGTGTGGTCTGCACTCGACGCTCTTCTCGTTTTCCGAAATAGAGGGTAATTTTAATGGGACAATAATATCATTATGAGTTTGTAAACTTTTTGCCCGCTCCTTATAGGAAAATGCGCAGTATTTAACATAATTATAAGTTCCTGGTTCTCTTTCCTACGGACCAGTTGAGAAGCCATTTTAGTTCGCCCCTTCTGTTTTCGGACAGTTAGAGCGACGAATTAGATGTTGAAGAAGGAGGACTGAGCATACTGTAGAAGGGTGCTGGGCCCCTAGAAAAAGATACACAGTTCCTCGACGAAGCGAAAAAGGCTCTGCCCAGCCCATATACCTTCTTCGTGGGTACTCTACATGAGGCCCGGCGCGCGGCGAGATGGCTGACGCAGAGGGACTCGAACGGCAG